CCCGGTGACTTGGTACGATACCAACCCTGCACATCCTGCCGCAGCAGGCTGCGGATCACCAGAGGTACGTAGCGTGAAGTGAGTTGAGATTGGTGGGGCGTTTAGCCCAACCACTGTTTGAATCTTGAATTTTTGTTTCTGATATACAGCACACGCCAGTGCCAAACAAGTTTAATGTGAGGGCAAGAGCCGTTTGTTGTACTGCTTGCTTCAGAGTACGGATGTGGAAGGCAACCAGATAGACTATGCGTCGAGCCTGAACATTGATTTCGAAATATCTGAGGATGTCGGCGCCGGATAACGCAGATGTTGACTACAAAAGCGATGCACGACACACGAAGTCATCGATGTTAAGTTATGGTCGCACATTCTCATACTTTGTCGGTTCATCCATCTTGCCAACAAGCTTTTCTATCTGTACAGATGCTCGTTTTCACCAAGCATCCAAGCTATTACCTTCAACGCATAGCTCCCTTCCCAGTTCCCCAACTTAAAAGTCCACTGACAGTCCTGTGTTTACGCACCAATATATTAGCTCCCGCGTTCAATGCGCAGATTCGGTCAGCGTCTAGGATACATTGGTGGTCAGAGTGTTTGCGTGATTTGCCCTAATTCTGCTCGCAGCGTCCATGCTTCTGACCTGTACAAAAGAATGGGATGCACTGCAGCGTTGCGCACTCTACCACCTCGCTCTGCCTCATAGCTACCGGAGGTTGATGTAGGTTGCCCCGGACATCCGGACTTGAAAGCATTTTACCTTCTATCGAGTCTCAAGATGTCTTCGGCGTCGGGTTCTCCGCTTTCACTTACACCACGCTCGTGTGTTAGGTGGAAGTAACCCCTTATGTTGCTGTTGCACGATCTGATATGCACTTTACAGTAAGACTCGAGCCGGAGTCTAAACTTTGCTAATGGCGAGATGGCTCAAGTGGTTAGAGCGCGAATTTACTAACCGGAATGTTTGTGACTCGAACCAGACCTCTGCTCCTCGACTTCCCCTGTCTAGGCTTGGGAAACCTGACAGTATCCGATCCTTTGTGCTTCCTTCGGGTGGAATGGCAGCTGTGCATCTGAAGGGTGTTACAGCTGAACGACTTTACTTTTTTAAGTGGCAGTCCATCAGTAGGTTCTGAAAAACTAGTCGCTAAAATCCCAGGTAATAATAAATAATAATCATCGTGCAGTTGTAACACCTTTTCGGTGCTGCCATGCCACCCAAAGGAAGCACGAGGGCTGGGATTCTGCTAGGTTGCCCGATTCTAGACGGGATAAACAACCCGTATGTAAATATTTTATCTTGGTGTTTTTTGCTTCAGGTTTCCAGGTAATGTTGCGCAAAGTGATAGCCGGTCTCATCGAACGTGTGATCGGTTCTTATGTCGAGGATGTTAATGGTGAAAAACTTTCTATTGGTCTTCTGAATGGTTGGTTTTACCTTTCCTGCTTCTTGCATATTAATGTGTTTTCTTCAGGAAACCTGGCACTTAGTCAGTTAACTCTGAAGAGTGACACTCTCCATCGATTACTTGGTATCCCGTTGGTGCTGGATAAAGGCAAGTTGAAATCTCCATTTGTTTGTTTTTCCCATAATGATATTCTCGTTTCCGCCCATTTATTTGGAGCTGCCGAACCTTAAGTCCCTTTAATTGGTTGTTTTTCATTACTGACACTTAAGGTAGAGCCTGGGTGTTCGCTCAGATCATATAAAATAAGAAGCTGATTGATATTTTGTCCTCATAAAGCCGTCTGTTGAATGATGATGAAAGCTTGGGGGGGGGGCGGATCTATCTTAGACTGCGCGAACGTTGACAGATCAAAAAATGGAAGAACACAACCAGGTTCTAATAGTAATCGTTCACCTGTACTACCCTTTCGGTGCCTAACTGTCTTGCCACCCGAAGGAAGCACGAGGGCTGGAATGTAGCCAGGTTGCCCAATCTCACACAGGGGAAGTCGAGAGGCAGAGGTCGGGTTCGAACAACAGACCTTCCGTTCTGTAAATTCGCGCTCTGACTACTGAGCTATCTCGCCCCCACACCAGCAGGTAGCGATTCAGAACACTCCTTTGGTAGTAAACGCAGGCAGAATTCAGCGGGAAACAGTGTGACTTTAGGTTCTTGGTGCAAAGATGTGCCAGAACAAGGTGTCACCGCACTACCACGGTGAAATTGACGGAAACACCACGGAAACTCAAGTGAATTTCGCAGATAGGGTGAGATATATTAGTGCAGGTTGCTATTGTTTTTCACCTGCAACATTTGGTTTCCGGAACTATCTAGAAGGCCATCGTTATTTAGTGAATACACTACAAAGAACGGAGCAAAATCCTCATCGAAATAGTTCAGTGGATAACTAACACACATTCATGAAGGTTGCATTCTGCTACTTACCACCAAGACAGTTGCGGACGTTTTCTTGTTTTATCCTCTTCCAAGGAGTGATGCATCTCACTCGGGTGGCGCGCAAATTCCGCAAAAGACCCCTTCAAGCGAGGAGGACTTCTGGTCTTATTCAGCTAAATTAGTATGCATTAGGTTCTGTGAGATTGCACCGTACACCGTGGCCAAGGATGTACCTTCCTGTGAACTGCTCAGAACGGTAGCTTTTTTAGAGGGTCTCTCCGGGACAATTACTCTGGCACACATTACTTGGTTCCTTGAAACAGAGTTGTTTTGATTTCTGTTGAATGCTCGACATACGGAACGGATAACAGATGTACATTTGTTCACTGCGGATACCCTTCTCTATGACCTCACCCAATTCTGATTGGTGTAATTCTCCGTCGGTCAACAGGCACTATTGGTCGAGTATCCGTGCATATCCCATACACCCACCTATGGAGTCAGCCCTGGCAGTTGTGTATAGAAGATGTGGAGTTGATTGCCTATCCATCCGCCTCCGAACTATACAACCGACAAACTCGCGCGATGGGAAGCTCTGTGGACTACCAACCGGTTGATTCCACACAGACACCAACGGACGCATCCTCATTTGATCAGAAGTACTATCTCGCCCAAATGGAAGAGAAATGGTGGAAGGTGTGTTCGTGCCGCATAATTTTACTTTTTATTCACTATTTATTCGGTTATTTTTGTCCTGCGAACGTTTCTCAAGGCTTTCGAGCATGCAAGTAAGGTGAATTTGGGATAGCTTCACATGAGTGTGTTGCGTTTCGCGCGTTCGATGAAGTCGGACAGTCGAACCGGGCAAGATTGCTATTGTTTACCGTCATTTTTGGACAGAATTCTTGCGAAGTTTTCTGTAGGCTTGCTGTTCTTCACGATGGGCGGCGTGCTCATTTTGCCCTGCTTTTCTGATATATCGCTTTCTTTCAGGTTTTTTTTCAAACGTTTCTCGTTTTTTATATCACGCTGCCTTGGTTATCGATTTTGTCTTTTATCTTTAACCTCGGTTTCGCATCACAGACAATTCACAGCACAGGTGTCAACGATGCAACGGCGCTAGCTGCGGCAGTGGCAATGGGTTCCGATGCAGATGCATCTTCCTGGCTATCCTATCTGGCCTCGTTTGGCTATGCGGTCGTTCGAAGCATTCAAGTGAGTCCTATGTGAGAAGATCCAATCAATAGTTTGTTTGGCAATCTTATGGTTAGCCATTCGTGCATTGCGACCAAGGTGATGGCAACAATTCCACCGCAACAGTGTCCGGGTCTTGGTTCCAACTACACTGTGCGATCACATGAAATGCCCGACCCACTGGCCAGCGCGAACTCCTAACAGATAAGTGTTGACTAAATGTCAGTTCACTCCAACCAGGTGTGGTCTGATTTACTGCTCATCCTTTTATTCGACCCCGCAATTACCACAGTTTTCCCCTCATCAGGCGTGTTTGTTCCTCTCCTTACCAATACAGATCGAAATTCACAACGTACATTTGCGGATTGTTCAACACGCGAGTCCAACAGATTTGCTGATTGTGCCAGAATCTTTGCTCGGTGCATTCACCATCTCCCTGGAACATTTGACAGTGAAAACTACGGACGTTGGTAATCAGGTAAACACAGCATTTTATCATGGGCGGTGCGGGGTGGTTAATCAGTGTAGTGTGACCAAAATCGCATAGTTGAGTGCCAAATTAACCGTTTCTTGGTTGCTACAGCGGTGAACAACCAATTACTCTCTATACTCGAAAGATTGAGTTGAACTATACCGATCTAGCAGTTCTCCTATCATACCAATAGGCATTCACTTGCAAGATGACGCAGTGATTAGAGTGCGAATTTACTGACCGCAAGGTCCCGAACCCGACCCCTACATCTTGGCTCCTCCTGTCTAGGCTTGGGCAACCTGGCAGTATCCCAGCCCTCGTGCTTCCTTCGGGTGATATGGCAGTTAGGCACCAAAAGGGAGTTACAGTCACAAATCAACCCGAAGTTGCACAAACCAAATTTCCCCGTGCGACCCAAATTGTTAATATTTAGATCTTCACAACACAAGCTAGTGAAATATCTGGTGGGCTTATGAAATGAAGTTTGCGACCCCTGTTGATCAGTACAGTCGATGATAACTCTGAGGTTGATAAAATTCACAATTTGAAGTATTGCAGACCATCACCGTACCAACGTGGAATTCTGTTCGTTGTTTTCATCAATGTGGCATTCGATGAAACCTCTAACTTCAGTTGTGATGATGATGTAAATCTTGGTAAATGGAACTCAAACTCAACTTCCAATACACTAGTTCAGTTCAATTTACCTAGATTATCGGCTGCGGTAGCCTAGTATCTAGTTGAAAGATCCTTTACAGTGATCGACTTGTTTATTCACCCAGCGAGATGGATCAAGTGGTTAGAGCGCGAATTAACTGACCGGAAGCTCCATGGTTCGAACCCGACCTCTGCCTCTCGACTTCCCCCGTCTGGGTTTGGGCAACCTGGCAGTATCCCAGCCGTCGTGCAACTTTTGGGTGGCACGGCAGCTAGGTACTGGAAGAGTGCCACAGCTGAACAATTTTTATTTCACCTAGCAACACGTTGGTGAGATGACTCAGTGGCTCGAGTACGACCGGAAGGTCCGTGGTTTGAAACTGACCTCTGTCTCTCGACTTACCATGTCTGGGCTTGGGCAATCTGGCAATATCCCAGCCCTCGTGCTTCCTTCAGGTGACATGGCAGTTGGCCGCCGAAAGGGTGCTGAACGATCGAATTTCATATGTGCCATTGCGGTTTGTTACCAAAGTCTTCGTTGAAGGTATATTTTTTAGTGAACACATCAATATGACTTTCATTGCCGAACCCTGCTTTTACCCTCTCTTGTTCTAGGAGACCAACACCGAATGTAAGCTCATCAAAATGGACAACTTTTGCGTCAAGTGGTCTGAAGTTGTTAGTCAGGGTGTCGGTCGTTCCCCGTCGTCGACAGCAGATGTGCAGGTGAGAATCTGTCTGAATCATTGTTGTTTTGTTTCGGATTAATCTTGTTTCGAGTCACTGTGATTCTCCCTACCTTTTAAGCCGAATGATTTAAGTACTTAAATCGAGCGATTACCGGCACAAAAGGACTTTGAGAAGGTGTTCGAAGTCAGACTAAGTGTTGTGACTTGGTGGACGGTAGTGCAACTCTGTATCGGTCCCTCGGCTTCCTGCTCCGCCCACTATGGTATATCAAAAGGCAAGGTAGCTCTACACAGCCCTTTATGGAGACAAAGGAAAGTTATCACAGCTGTATTTATAGGGTAGTCACAGAGTGTTCCACAAGGTCGAGCCAGAATCTCCTTTAGGGGGCGAGAAGCGTCGAGTCAAAGGTGCTCGACTGGAATTAGCTGGCATTCTGATCAATCAGGGCATGCCTTCGTTTGGTCCGTGTCCTGCACGTGACACATCCGTCCAAATGATGTGATGCTCAGTTATTAGGAACGGCTGGCCTCCGTACATCAAGGTTTCCTTTTTGGTTTGAAATCACGATTAGTACGTTTCAAGTTAGCACAGGATCGTCGAGACGTCATCAAGGAATACCAGGGTGTTCGCCCGGAACTAATGTTTCCTCGCGTGGAGGAAGTGCAACAAACTTTATGCATTAAATGGGTAGGGATTCGGTTCTTTCCGAATGTTTGAAACATTTTTGTGAGTGTGAATTGTAGTACAGTGATTCCAGTTCATCACGTGAAAGGGGCCCCTGATCACTCCGTTGAGTTTCCTCTTGGGGATCCAGCTGGAGCAGTTGCGAATCTGAAACTGAGATGCTTTATTGCTTTATTGATATCTCAGGGTCAGTACGAACTAACTTTTATATCTAGCTAAGGGAAAAGCAAACAAACAAATTGCTTTTTCCCATGTTTCACCTTCACTATCTGGAACCGCAGTGAATCTGCGGCATGCTACTACGAGTAGTTCTACACGCGTATCCTAGGCCATATTGTCTACTTGATGAGGGCAAGACTTTTTGAAGTAAAGGCGGTTTGTCTAGCGGAATAGTGTGTCAGTACTGTCCATGACTCAATCACTTTTCGCGTGCTACTAGACTACTGTCTATGGGCCACAGAAATAGGGCATCCCTCTTGAGAAGTAAATAGGCCACTTAAGGATCGGTTCGTCAAAGCGGATTGTAATGGAAGAAAACTATCCATCGCCAGTATAGTTTCTTCGACGGGTTTTTTTTTCTCTGGAGGCTTCCTCGTAAAGGAAAGTACTGCACCGTAGTCCTGGGTGACGAAATATTCTACCTTGCAAAGTTAGCGAGTTTATGAGTTTCCATCCTATGCAGGTGGTTTTTTCCCCGACCCAGACTGTCTACCATCAATTTAAAATGAGTCACGGGTGGCCTAGTCCGCAAGTCTTTTTGCTTGTTGAACTCCTTTCTTTCAACATTTGTCTCGTCTTCTTTTTCAGCTCACCCATGACAAGCTTCTTTACGTGTTGCCCCCGAGTAGTCTAACCGGTCAACTGAAGCGAAGCAGAATGCACGAGTCAGCATCTCCACACTTGGTTGTGGATCGCTCATTTCGGAACCGTTTGGTGCAACTGGAGTTTGACACGGGTTTGGGCGACTTGAAGCTTCAATTGTCTCGGGATATGTGCAAAGCCAGTGTACATTTGGCGGAGCTGGTGACTTTAGAACAACATAGAATGGAGCAGTTTGCTCGCCGTCCGAAGGTCCCAGTCCGTTTGAAGTAAGTCTTATGGCTTTACACGCTCTTCACTCAAGTCACCTTCGCATTACTTTCATAACTGTTAGTTCAGGGAAAGAACGCTTCCTGTGAGACCTAGTTTCTGGCTTCAGAATGATATAAAACAGGCATTGTTAATGTCACGGAGGCAGCAGCTGAGTCCCCACTGTCGGATTCAAACCACGGACCTTTCGGTAAGTAAATTCGCGCTCTAACCACTTGAGCCATTTCGCATGCTAGAATCGACATTCGATCATAAAACGTATTGAATTATTGAGCTTTGGCAGCAATTTGTCATATTTCTTGATGTCTGGAGTTCCTGGGGAGGAAGAAGATCTTGAAATTTCAAACGATTTCATCCGTTACACTACGGCAAATTCCTAGAGACTCATTCAACAGCGCTTTTCCTACAGCGTGCTTCCACACGTCCTAGATCCACGGCGTACATCAGAAGGAAGCATCTCGATGAACCGTTGAAAAAGGCGCTCATTCCTCTGTTGTGCTCACCTACTGGAGATGAACGGACTTGTCGTCCGCAGCAGGTTCTACATCGGGGTTTCTGGGACTCCTGAACGTTAGGTTCAAAGGTGAAAAAGCGTAGAGGCCGGTCTGTTAGTGTTAGATGCAACTGTTTAGAGAGAAGCTCCTTGTATGTCATCACACACATGCTTGTAAACACCAAAAAGTTGATATCCACTATCTGAGCCCATTTTGTTGCACAATCGTATTGGAGATTGAGGTGTATACATGCACTGTTTCCAGCCCGAAGCTCACCTTCAAGATTCCCTTCATCATATATTTCAGTGCCACAGAATGGTGGAAATATATAGCCGGAGAAATACGCCCTCAACTGCGGCCACTATTCAATTCGACTTTGCGAATCAATCTCGTCGAGTTGGCCGCGGAAGCCAGGTCAAACTTGTTGTACGTCGACGCTTACACCAACTACCTTGTTCGTGGTTTGACCACCTTGTATCAGCCGTCTTCTGCAAAGCAGCCGGTGGGTAGCATGGAGTCCGACGGTCTGCCACAGTCAGAGTCAGATTGTGCGGACTATTTTCGAAGGCACGTAGCAGATGAACAATGGCCCGTTGGGCGCATCGCTGCCCTTCGTCTCGTTGCAATGCGCCGTGCAGCCTCCGTGTTGCATGAGTTTGTGGTAAGTGCAGGTTGGTCGCGAAAGCTGTTCCCTTTCCCTCGATTCCCTGAGAATTGTAGTGGTTCACCCCCTATTCAGGATCCAAAACGCCATGAGCCATGTTTAATGCCCATAGTGGTCGTTCCTCGATCCAAATCCATTATTTAACTTCACTGAAGACTTCCCCGCCTGACTTTCTGGAATCTCATCACTTTTGTGTACTTTTAGGCTTTCAATGTAGATCAAACCTCACTGTGTTAGCTTATGGCTTTCTGTTCAACGATGTTCTGTCTCTACCTCGCAGATCTCATCTTCAGATGTTCGACAATCGTCGTCAGAACCATAGCTCGTGTGGGGTTGTGTATGCAAATCCGTGACGAGGCAATTATTAAGCGAGTTTTTGATTGTGCGTTTAAATGCATGCAGCACTAGAAGCTACGTTGGCTGGGACGTGTTGCGTATGCCGAACCATTGTTTGCCGAAGAGGGTGCTGTTTTCCATGCTCAACTCAGATTTTGTACACAATACATCCGACGAGACCCTTGATTTGGGGACGGCGGCGTTTGGCAGAAAACTGCTCGAATGGTTCTGTTTGGTTTGTCAACGGTGAACGATGAATCACCTTGGCGATTTACTTAACAATGTTGAGGATACCAAGGAGGGCAGATGCTCACCATGAGCAGTTCTATCTGTTCTGCCTTTCTGATGAATTTCGGATTCGGACGGGTAAGGATAGAGGTAACGGATTTTGGCTACTCTGCATCCCTAACCTTGGTGTTGACAACTGCAAAGGTTTTCTGGCTTGTATGCTTCCTTGCTGGGTTGTGGCCTGGCCCGTCCACCTAAAACTTTAATGGGAATAAAGAATTCTCGAGCAGGTGAATTCTGATGCTTTGTCAGTGTAATTTATAGATTGTGGTTGTAATTTAGTTCCCGAATTCGGAAACTTCATCAGCTCCGTTGACCCGACGTTCCTATCTGGCCCGCGCCAGGCTTCGTGTAGATCTGGACCACGTTGTATTTTGGCTGTCTCCACAAGTTTCACTACCCATTGATTGATTAAATCGGCGTTAGTGCCAGATTTTTGAGACTCTGATGTGTCCAAGAACTGTGTGTTATGTGGCACAGTTGTTGTGTGTGTTAGCTTAAGCTCGTCAATACGAGTGAACCACTTTCATGTTTGTATGTGGTTGGCGGTTGGACTTCAGCAGCTTGGTTTGCCTATTCCCATTCAAATTTGATCACGTGTTGTTAATCAGCTGTTCGTCACACTTATGTGAAGACAAAAGCGCAAGGTTTTCACACTGTTGTTAGTGATTTCAGCTGATTTCAACTGAGCTGTGCCATAGCGTATCATTTCTTCGTCTAAGTGGGTCGATTTTGTCAGTTTGAAACGGGGTTTCTGCTGCTTCCTTGAAGCTCAATTTTATCCTGAGCCTTCAGAAGCTTGGTTTTGCATGGCTACTCACATTCGTTTCCCAACTATTCTTCTTTTCACCAGAAACCCCAACGTCTAAAACAGTCAGCAGACGTTTCGTCTCACAGTGGCTCACCGCTATCCTCACCATGTCCTATTGAAGGAGGGAATCACCACCAACAACAGCTAGAGCAACAGCGAACCTCGGTGTCTGCATCTCCCGGCGCAATGTCTTGGTACGCGTGGTGGAGGTATTCATCTCTTCTTGGAATACGAACACTTTGGTACGGTCCGGAAGCCACCGAAGGTGTCAAACCTTCCCTGTCTCAGTCGGATGAGATAGGATCATCTCGGAGTCGAACGGTAGCCGATTCGCCACCGACGGTGAAACAAGCCATATTCGAGCTGTTAGACGAATTGGCGCTCAGCTCTGACCCGTTGGGTGAGGTGAAATCGCCGAGCTGTGTCCCTGAAGGTGATCTCATTGCCTTTCGTCTCGTTTGTCGGGTTGTCGGTTGCTCGGTCCGACTGGTGGAGAACGATTTTCAGTTTTCGCCCCCATCAGATTTTGTGGTATGTCTGAGTTATTTTTAGAGGTCGTGGGTGGTATTTCCTATAGAATTACAGAAATTCATCAGCTGGAAAAGTGTCTAGAGTTTCATCAGCCGCATATTGTTTTACCTTCGCATCGTTCTTATGAGAAATGTATGTTGTTCACACAGGTGGGTTGGGGCGAGTTGGCCCAAGTGGTTGGAGCGCAAATTTACTGACCGGAATCATCATCATCCTCAGCTGTAATAACCGCGTACTCGTCGTACAGTGGTTGTAAGAAGCTACTAAAGCGTTCAGCTGTAGCACCCCTGCGGTGCCTAGCTGCCATCCCACCCGAAGGAAGCACGAGGGCTGGGATACTGCCAGGTTGCCCAAGCCTAGACAGGGAAGTCGAGTGGCGGAGGTCGGATTCGAACCACGAACCTACCGGTCAGTAAGCTCGCGCTCTAACCACTTGGGCCATCTCGCCGCAGTTTCGTTCACAGATGATTTGGGGGGGGGGGGGAGGG